TTAAATACTTCATGCTTATATAACAATGATGTGGATCCCCTGATAACAAAGCAACCCCTAAAGACAAAAACTACACCCAACAGGTGAAGAACCAGCACAAAACAAATGTGGAGTCAGAGTTCAAACTTCACACCAGATCCTGGTCAGGGAGTATCAAACTTAACCTGCCTGGCTCATTTTCCTGCAGCCTGACCTGAGGGAAAGGGGATATAGGTGACCCCGTTATAAATTCATTTATTAAAGCATTTATAACTGCATACATGTGGCTGGAACCCACCTGCCTACTTCTTCAGCTCCATGAATGCTTAGGATGTTCTTAAGATGATGTTCTGCAGCTCAGCTTTTGCTTTGCAGATTTTAATTAGAGACTAAGAAACATGGGCTTCATCTTCCACTCCCAGGATCTACAGGTGCACAGCTTCACATTTATTGGGCTCAGTCAGGAACAGCCACACAAATATGGATACGAATGCAAATAAAAATATACATAATACAAATATATAAATATAGATATATAAATAGTATATATGTGAAGTAAATGTTTTTGTAATTTTAAAAAGAGAGGCAACCAGAAGAGAGAGAAGGAGCTAAAGCCAATTCAATAGGGGGTTTTCCAATGAGAAAAAAAAAATTTGCTAAGTGAGTTTCATGACATTTAGTCTCCCAAATTGGCAAGTTATGCACAATAACTTAATGGTTTATGTGCATTGGAAGCAGCAAGTCATGGAGATCATTAAAGACATAAAGATTATAGATATTTTAAATACATGCTGGCAACAGAAGATTGCCTGCATCCAAAAGAATCAATAGAAGAAAATACAGAACAACAACCCCAGCCTGTATTTCATCTATCACGAATTACTACTTTTGGCATAATGGGCATCAAAAAGAATTCACAAAGATTTACTCATCTGCATGAATGGATTACTGTACTGTTTATTATTTGTTATTTATTATTTATTATTTATCGTTATTTATTATTTATTATTTATTAATTATTTATTTATTAGTTATTTGTTATTTGTTATTTGTTATTTGTTATTTGTTATTTGTTATTTATACAAATCTGCAAATTTAATCAAAAAGTCTACTTTAATAATTGCTTGCAGTACTCTGAAGTTTAATATGCAGAATTAAAAACAAGAATAGTGGGCATGCAGACACAATGAACATTTAAAAAAACCCTGGCAAACACTCAAAATTGTACTATTATTAGCCTGCTGCTCAGTTTTCCCAAATAAAAAGTAATGATGGTGTAAATCAAGAGGGCTCCGTGTCTCCGAGCATAATCCATTTGCTTTGTTTGAAATTCCATCAGAGCTTGTTTGAAATAGGATTTCTTCAGAATCCTCCAGCAAAAGTAGCCTGGGTTGGAAGTTTTTAAGAGGAAGCTTGAAAAGCCTGAGAAATTTGTAAAAGACTGCTGAATTTGTACAAATATTTTGTGAAACTCTTATCTATAAGCCTCTGTGAGCTTGTTCACATGTGATGACAACTTTCGTATTGCCTGACAATATAAATTACAATTTCAAAATGAACACAGATCTCGGGGCATGAGACCATAGAGGTTCATCTCCCGGGCTCCTTCCTGTGACAGCTCCCAGGGGTGTGACCAGCAGGGTGTCCTGGGGACAGGGAGGCCAGTGGCATCCTGGGGACATCAGGAAAAGCACTCCCAGCAGGTCAGGGAGGGATCCTGCCCCTCTGCCCAGCCCTGGGGCACATCTGGAGTGATCCTGTCCCTTTGCCCAGCCCTGGGGGCACATCTGGAGTGACCCTGCCCCTCTGCCCAGCCTGTGAGGCACATCAGGAACGATCCTGTCCCTCTGCCCTGGGGCACACCTGGAACTATCCTGCCCCTCTGCCCAGCCCTGAGCAGAGACCAGAGAGGCTGTGGGGTCTCTTCCCTGGGGATATTCCAGAGCTATGTGCACACAATCCCATCCACGTGCCCTAGGATGGCCCTGCTGGAGCAGGGAGGTGGCACCAGCTGAGGCCCTGTGGTCACTTCCAGCCTGAGCCATGCTGGAACTCTGTGCTTTACTTTGGTCCTTTCTATATAAATGCAAATTCCAGTTCTATGTTCAGCAGGACAAAGCCCCTGGCATTCTAAAGGACGTTAAATCCAGTTTGGAACAAACACGTTTGCTGGGAGGCAGGAACATCTCACAGCAGCACTTCAGCAGGGGGTTAAGGCCTCCATCTCTGGTGGTGCTTGTAGGAAGCCTCGTCTGCATGGAAGAAGTCCAAATGAGAATAAACACAGGGAGCAGTTGCAAATCAGTGTTATATAAAAGTTATAAACAGCCCTGATTTACAGTGTGCTACCTGAAAAGTGTTTGCACTCAGCAAAGAGGTCAAACAGCAAAGGAGACTGAGCAGGAAACTGCTGCAGAAACATCCTGGGCTGGGCAGTGGGATGGGAGCACACAACTTGTTCTTCAATCCTGTGTACAGGCACCAGCAAGAAAAGACTTTCATCTCTTGCACAACCATTTTCCAGGGCAAAACCTCTCAGCACAGAATCCCAGCATGGCTCAGGCTGGAAGTGAGCACAGGACTCAGCTGGTGCCACCTCCCTGCTCCAGCAGGGCCATCCCAGGGCACAGGGACAGGGTTGTGGGCACACAGCTCTGGAGCATCCCCAGGGAGGGACACCCCACACCCTCACTGAGCAGTCTGGTCAGTGCTTGGTCACTGTCCAGGGGAAAATTGTGCCTCCTGTCCAGTGCATCCCTTCCTGCCTGCTGCCTTTTCTGCTTCTCAGCAGCACTGAGCAGAGCCTGCTCCCTGCTCTCACACCCAGAGACAGGACCTAAGCTTGGTCCCAAAACCCAAATTGGGTTTATCATAATTGCAGTGGGACAGGGAGCAATTCAAGGGCAAAAAGACTGCCTTAGTAACAGCAAAAAAGGAGCTAATGGATGTATCATTTTGCTGAGAGTTGCATCTTTTGGCAATGAATGTTATCCTCTTAGACTGAGGGCAGGTACATGGGGATTTCCTGTATTTTCCTGTTTGCTCATGGTGGGGAGGAATTGTGCAAAGTTCACAATACCTCTTCACCAGTTGCTCAAACAATGAAGTTACCAAGTGCCCAACAATGCTGTTTGCAAAAAACATCGTTGCACAATTTCTTTGTCACCTACATAACAAAATTCTGCGTTTGACTCCACAGAGAGCTTTGTGCAATACATTTCTAAACATTTTTTTTAAATGAGGGGAAAATAAGCATGATCTTAAAGAAAGGAATGAATATGAGTAAGATAGTTGCAAAAAAATCTCCCAAATCTTATGCATATCTTTAACACAGAGAAGATGTACTGGACCTATGTGAATCACAAAAACATCAGTTTAGCTGAATATACAATAATGTGTTACGCATGTGGCATTTTTCTAGGTCTTGAAGTGTGGCAGCACATTTCTCTCCCTCTCAGGATTTTTCATAGAGGTGCACAGAGAGAAATGAAAGAGAAAACTATTTCTATTTCTGATCTTTGTTTTTCCCATGTGGAAAGTGTTTGGAGAATTGTTTACCTGCGGTGAGCGCTTGGTTGGATTCTGGTGAGGATTGATTGATCCTGATGGCCAATCCAATCCAATCCAATCCAATCCAATCCAATCCAATCCAATCCATCTGTGTCTGGACTCTCGAGAGAGAGTCAGACGTTGTGTTAGTTAGAGTCAGAGAAAGTAGTATGTAGTTTTAGTATCCTCCTTTTGTATAGCATATTAATGCATTTTAGCATAGTGATAATACAGAAATCATTCAGGCTTCTGAATTGAGTCAGACATCATCATTTCATCCCATTGGGTTCGCCTGCATTTACAATATTGAAGTAGTTGTGTAAGAAAGCTCCACTACAAGAAACTCCAGGTACTTGAGCAGAGAAGGGTGACAGCGCTGTGGCTGATGAGGGCTGGCACGGTCCCAGGCCGGGACGTGCTCTCGGATGCTCCGCAGACTCTGGGGTCAGCTCGGGTGAGCCCCCACGTCACGTCCCCGCTGCAGCCAGCTCGCATTTCACATTTCACATTTCACATTTCACATTTCACGTTTCCGCAGGTTTGCGGCCACACCCGGGGCTCTCCGGCGGGCGGGCAGAGCGGAGCCGCGGGCAGCGCAGCGCCAGAGCCGGGCTCTTCCCCGGAGAGAGCGGAGCGACCCTCGGCAGCGTCCCGGAGC